TTGCGTTTTCGCGGAGCGTCAGCCGGATCATTCGGTCTAATAGACTCACCTCGTACGTCTGCGGGAGCAGAGAGGAGAACTGAGCTGTCTGATAAGAGCTTCAGGAGATGGAAGGAAAGAGATGTGGAGGGGACTAGGGGGGGGGGGGGGGGGGGGGGGGGGTGGAGAGGTGGGAGGTGGGAGCCTCGATGATGAGTCATGGAGCATTCATCCTCAATAATGATTCAGAGTGAGAGCAGATGGCTCAAACTGCACGTCATGATTTACCATTAATGAAAGTATTAGCATGCATCTCCTATAATTAGATACACAATCGTGTGCATGACCGGGGCTGGCTGACATGAATAGGACTCCGTGTGTGTCCTACGTAGTGATTTCCACTGATTGGCACCGGCACCAACACTCAATCATAAGTTGAGCTGATTCACAGCGGACGAATGACGCAGCAATTTTTACAACCAGTACCATGGTGGCGCTGTAGGTGTGTTAAAGATGACATTTTTTTTTTATTTTTCCATTACAAGAACCAAACTGGCTTCAACGTGTTTTCTTTTGTTTTATTTATGGATCAAATTAACATGAATACGATCCAAATGAGCCAATTACTAAAAATTAGACATGTCCAACATTATCGGCCAACCGACATTATCGCCGCGATATTAGCATAATGATGTATTTTCCGTAAGAATTAATAACATTATCGATTTTTTTTCCTCCGATAATAAAAACCCTAATGCCCTAATAATAATTTTGGAGAAAAATGCCTGTATGTGAAAATGAAAGTCACTAGATGGCAGCATTGTCGCTCATTTAATTCATCTATTTTGTTGTATGCAGAATGCTGGTGCCAGCAACTCTTACAGTGGTTTGTACAGATAAATAAATCAATATTACCAGGCCTATATCTGAACCGGTTGATATCGGGAAATTAAGTGTTCGGACAATATTGGCAAAAAAGCTAATATCGGACAAAGAAAAAATGAAATGTCCTACTTACTGTTTTTTTAAAGAGCCGTGTTGAAGATAAGCGTCATCTCGGTGTTCTTTCAGAAGCCACCAGATGGCTCTGCTCCCCAATTAGTTACGTTGCAAAATACTGTGTGTAATGTTATGTACTGTAGGTGGTGTGTCTCTGCGGGACAAACTGTAGGTTATATTTTAAAGAGACATTTTTTTTTTTTGAAGGTGACTTTTCGGCAGCCTGGTAGCACAGTGGACAAGGTGACTGACCTTAATACTCAAGGGCTTTGCATTGAACCATCCGATGGCGTTGTCCTTGAACGCGACACTGAATCACTACCAGCCTTAAGACTGCTGGCCCGTAGCTGACTCTGACCTCTGACCTCCCAGCAGAGAGGAAAAAGAGGAGAAAGTGAAACTGGTTTATGAAGAAACAAAGGAAAGCCAGGCTGTTTTTTTTATGATATTTATTGAAGGCCAGGCTGTTTTTTGTTTTTTTTTTATGATATTTATTGTGCTTTCATGGACTTAAGTTACAGAAGGTTTTAATTTTAATATTGATAATGAATGATTTTCTGTGACTTAGAAACAGGAGATTATTACAACGGGATTGTTGTAATTTATCATGTTTGTTATGACATTCTCATTTTTTTTTTCTTTTTTGGGAGATGAGTCACCCGAGCGTGAAATATCACAGCGTCTGTCAGTGAACTTCTCGCTCTCTACCTGCATCCAGAAGAGCTCGGACATGATCTGTCACAGAAGAACGAAGCACCCATGTCATCGTTTAACCTCACTGTTGCTGCGACACCGATGCTAATACTAATTGATTGCGACACTAATGCTAATACTAATTGATTAAAAATATATATATATATAATTTTTAATGCCCTCCTTTGACCCCGCGGCTGGCCTCAGGTGTAACCTTCAAAATCAGAATGCACTTTGTTGTACATTGTTGACCAAGTTCCACGCAGTAAATGCCAAACGAGGTCATCCCAGCCATGTATTTCCTTATGCGCGGATGAAAAAGTTTTTGATTATGAAGGCAGAGTTGCAGATGCAGCGTCTGCTCGGGAGTAAATGTTTATTGATCAAGAAGGACTTGGCCCACGTTAATTCAGTTTTCTGTGTGTTGTCTGGCACGGAGCAAGCCGCGGCGAGGAATCCATCACTATTGGCATGTGGACCCGATTACTGGAGAGACTCTGAAAGTCTCATATAGACCTATGATAAAGAGCTCTGTCTGAGCCCCTTTGCAGCCACATCACTCAGGGTGTCCGCGCAAAGCAACAGGGCACTGCAAAAGAAAGAGGAGGGAAAAAGCCCTCACAGGTCTCGTCTCGGCAACGTCGCCCTAACTCGGTTACTCCGACGGAGACTCCTGGGTGGGGGGCATTGAAATGTTGGAAACTTAATAAGAGTTTGACTGTAGACTTGGTTAGAATTTTAGAAAACCAATTGCTAGCATTTTTTTTGTTTATAAAATTCTTGTGTGTCTTGTGTTCATGAAGTGCCCGTCATGACCACAGGAGGGCCTCGTTTACCGACATCCACGACTTCTTTTGCGGTTACGTCTTGTTCCGTCATTTCGACATACAGCATTAAAATAAATTATGCTTAGGAACTTGTAGGTGGCGCTGTTCACGGAAGGAAGTTTCGACTACATTAGCGCTACATTCACTTTCTTTTGGTCGCGTTCTTTTTTAGGGAACCTTTTGCCCTTCGTTGTGGCTCCAAAGCGTACGTCAGTCACTCTTCTGATGTTTAGCTTGATGATTTTAGCATGTTAGCGTAGCTGAGTGACATTGTATGGGAGTTTGTTAGCGTAGCTGAGTGACATTGGTACAGTATGGGAGTTCCGACAGTTCATTGTGTCATCACAGCCTAATAAAAATATAAACAAATGACTATTTATGATTATGATTAAGAAGAACATTTTGTTCAATTATTTCATGCGTATTCTGCGATGGAAACCGGGTGCGATCTGGTCTGCGGTTGAATCCAGTGTGACATGCTGTGAAAATTACGCAGTACAGCTTTTTTTCCCCGCCGTACTGGAGGAAGAAAAGGAAAATAAAATGTGAAAAATGATTATTCCAGCAGTGGGTATGGTAATCAGGAAGACGTTAGCATTTTGCAACAGCAGGCAGAAAAGAACAGGATGATTGAGCCACTGGCTCTCAGGGTGTGGACGTATGCCATCTTCATGTGTCACACACACACACACTCACAAGGCATTTTGTTCCGAACCTCCGATGTAGTTTTACGGCCGAGAGAGTTGTAGCTAAAAAGTTATGAAAGCTAACTTAAGGAAGGCAAGTCGAGAAGAAGGAAAGAAGGCGGGAACCAAGCAATGAAGTGTTTGTTTTTTGCATTTTTTTTTTTACTTTTAAATTCCATCAAGCAGGCCGGATTGAACCCACTAATGGGCCGGATTTGGGCCCGAGTTGATATTGTTTGATTCATATATATGTCGTCGATGCCTAGGAGAGAGGACTGAAGGTAGTAGTGCAGATACAGAGAGAAGGAGTCTCCTTTGTTTGACCGAGCTTCTTCTCCTTCTTCTTCTTCTTCTTCTTCTTCTTCTTCTTCTTCTTCTTCTTCTTCTTCTAAAACAAAGTAGCTCCTGACCGTCGTGCATCAGGGTGACTCAGCTGGAAGCTTTGTTTATTAGAAACGCACAGTCACTTAAAGAACACAATTAAGGCTTGTAATTAATTGGGTTAATGGTGTTTATTATTGATTCATCTTTAGCCAATCAGTCATCTAATTATTTGAGGACTGGAAGAAGAAAAAAAACAAATGTCCTGAATCTCTGTACGCAGCGTAACTTCGCTTCCTCTCTCTCTCTCTCTCTCTGACCACGAACCAGAATCATATTATTGCCTTTTGAGTGTAAATAAATCGTTTCCCAGATCACAACCGTTTACATTAAAATGAGCTTCACACGCCCCGCCGCGCCTCACGCCAGACTTTGACACCTTTCATCCGTGACATGACCTACTGACAGGGAAATGATGTCACCGGCAGTGTGAAGCTGGTTTCCTGGAAGCTCGAAGCCTTCTTATGAAGTGTAACGAGGGAAATCCCGCACGAGCGCGAACGAGAGTTGTAAATAAAACATGAGCTTTATTCCCCGCGGAGCTGCCGTGTTCCTCGCGGCAGTGAGCCTCGGAACTCGGCAACGTGGAAGATTTATGTCTGTGCTCTGGCGTGATAGAGACGTTATCTGTTCGCCCACATGGACTATATGTACTCTACTCACCAACCGGTCGTCTAAGATGTTTTACCTACATCCCACCGTCTTACATCCACCCTGATAACCTTCCCAGTTTTACCGTTTTTCACCAACTTACCCTCCTGCTAGTCTAACAACTTTTTTTTCTACCTTCTAGCCTACTATCAACATCTACGTCGCTCTCTCTCTACTCTACTTTTTACTTTACGTAATGACGTACTTTTCTCCGCCAATACCGACTACCTACTTCCCTACTTTACATCTCCTGACTTACCTAGTTCCCTAGCCACGTATACCAGGGTGTCAACATTTTGGTACAGCCTGAGTAGATGTACAATCGTATCAAAATTAGTAGTAAGTAAGCAAGTAAGTAGTATTAAGTACAAATGTATCAGGAAATAGTCATATTCAATGAAAATGTTTGTGGATTTTTTTGAATTTCAGAATTCATCAAGTCGTAGTCATATTCAATGAAAATGTTTGTGGCTTTTTTTTTATTTCAGAATTCATCAAGGCGGCCATTTTGAACCCCCCAGCAGGCCGTATATTTGACACTCCTGACACCCTACACCCTCCTATATACCTAGCTTTCTTAGCGACGTGCTATTCTTTAAAGGTTCCGTCCCTTGGTTTGTTTACTCTGATATTGGAGCCACGTTTAGGACCCGGGGCCTCACATGTGCCGCTCGTGCGTTTATTTAATTAGGCTCATGTCGGAGACAAGATGGCTGCAGTCATACCCAACAGGCTACATTTACGATGATGTGTTTTTTTTGCGTTTTTTGTTTTGTATTCGCAGCACGCGGACACGAGCTGCCCGTAGGAGCCATTAAGCTAGCGACACCATCTGTACAACTGCGTGCCTGAAGCTGAACAGCAACACAAGTGGGTATTGATTCAAGTTTTGCTGCAGTGCTGGATAATTGTTGTTTGTTTTTGGGGTTTTTTTTTTTTTTTTCTCTCTCTCCGTTCCAATAGGCCGCGGCCGTTAAAGCCATCCAACTAATTTTAGAGTAAAAATTAGCTAGCACTGTGGGGGGGAGGGTGTTAATTATAACAAAAGCTACTTCACAATTTGGTTTTCGACACTAAAAAAAGGATTGCTGTCATTCGTCAACAACTACACAATGACCTGGCTATAAATCCTGGGACTTTGAAACTGCTAAAAAAAAAAATTAAAAATGGCATCAATGCTCAAGATGAAGATTTGGAGGCCCCTACAGTCACAGCGTCCTGTAGGCTTTTATAATATGACAGGGGATGAGGTACGGTATTATTACGCTCAGCCAGGATGTGTGTGTCTGAGGTCATAGGTGGGTCATGTGATATTGCGTGATAAAGAGTGGCTTTGTCTCAACAACTTGCAGCAGAATAATAAATAATCTTTAGGACTTTTTACTCTCGTACTGTGATAGTTTAGAAAAACAACATTGAAGTTCAGATCCTCATAACAATACCACGCATATATATATATTTTTTTTTTTCAAATTTAATTTCTCTAGCTGACATACTTCTTCTGGAATAAACCTTTTTTTTTCGATCAATCAAAAACAAATCTGATGGATGGATAGATGGATGGATGGATAGATAGATGGATGGATGGATGGATGGATAGATAGATAGAAGACATTATCGTCGTAGCTGTGAAAAGTATGTTTACATTTAATTAGAAAATGCTCAGGTTTTTTTAGTAGGAATTGTTTTGACCTTACTAATTCTGAAGTAGTCTCTGTTTTCTATAGCATACCCTTCACATAAAGCCGTGAAGACATGGTCGATAAAAGCGGCAGCAGCCGGGAAAGCCACCGCCCTGAGAACGCTCAGACAGAACAGAAAACAGTGCAGCTTCTCGTTGTGACCCGATATTTGCAAACAGGAAGCGCCGACTTCTGTGCCTCGCTTCCCCCCCCCCATGGCAGGTCTTTGACTTTTGAACACCCTCGCTTCCCCTTTCAGAAAACACCAGACAGCTCTGTGATCTGTACCCACGGAGCTTCTGTTTGACAATGACGGTGGCAGGAAACGTCTGCACGGTGCACATACATGTGAAGTCGATGTCAACCCCACGTCACGTGATTTCACATAAGTGCGACTCTTGTTTGTGAAACACCTCGGTTATCCCCGAGCCAAACGGGCCTGCGGAGGTACACCTCTCGTCTGCACGTCTTTCTGGCCGATGCAGCCGGTGTTGTGGTGCCAATCGGAAGACGTTTCATTTTTTTTTTTTTTTTTTACGATCTTTAAGATCTGTTGACACGGACCCCAGTAGCGCCAGTAGCTGCGGCTTTTCTGTAATTCAGCACTTTGCTGTTTAGTGGATCAGTGGTGTGTGTAGCTGCACTCTACCCCGACGCTTCACGATTTGTCCATTCCAATCAAGCCGAGCAGAACCTGCTTAAAACTGGACTGTCACTGCAGGCAGATTGCCTGGTCTGTGCTGCGCTTACGCGGCCTACACTCTTTTTTTTTTTTTTTTTTTTTTACTCCAGACCGTCGTGTCTGAACTTCTCTCTACACCCTCCAAATGGTGAAGTCGTCAAGAAAATCATCCCAAAGACAGTGATTCCTCCCACGGTGACGTTATTCAATAGAAGGATGGAGAAAAGTCTTGCTTTGGCCTGGAGCAACATGAGAATATGACAGCTCAAATGTAAAAAAATAAAAAAAAAAAAAAAAAAAAGTTCTGTGATTCGGTGACTGACAGCTTGGGTCAACCTTCAACTGCAACCATCTAAGAGCTGAGATACTCCTTCCGTAACTTTTTAACAAGCACATAAAACGTGCGACCACTGCAGGCAACCCCCCCCCACCACAGACGCCCAGTGGGAATAGCCAATAGGTGGGTGAAAGGGCAACGGGAGACACGAGGTCAAACTCCTGCCAACTTTGTACCGACGTAGGCCAGGTGACCTCATCAAGAAAGAGGTTTGGGAAAGGACCTGGCAACCCATGTCCGTGACCGAAAAATAGGTGGTAAAGAAAATGAAACGTTTGAAAATCATGGTCGAAGGCCGGGGGGTGTTTTGTGACCGCTCTGGTTTACGCCGATGTAAACATAGCGTTACATAATCATGTGTCTGCGTGAGCTAATGTTTGAACAGGCTATAAAATGTGGTGTCCAGGCTTAAAACCTCAATGCGGAAGTTGCGAAACCTTGAGCACTTTCGCAAATAAAAAAACACAACTGTGACTATTGCTATGTCATAGTATACAGTAGTGGTTAGCAACTGAATCCAGCCAATCAGATGAGTCGAATCAGATGCACGACCGCATTCCAAAAATGTGATTTTGATTTTGATTTTTTTTTATTTGAGTGTCCGGCCCTCAAGGTTGAAAAAAAAAATGTAAGCCCTCCGACATGTGTAGTAATCGTGTAACAGGGCTAGTGTTAGCTAGACTTCGAGTCGTCTGTCAGAACACTTTGTAAACACCACTTGGAATCCAAGGTTTTCAAATTGACACGGATGAAAGTTAAAAGAAAGTCAATTTGTTCAAGTGCGCAGATTCACTCCCCCCTCCCTCTCCCCCTCCCCCTCCCCCCCCCCCCCCCCCCCCCCCCCCCCCCCCCCCCCCGTCAACAGCGAACATCAAACGACCCCAGACGCTTTTTGGAGAGCAAAATTCGTAATTAATACACTTCAAACGAGCCCGAGCGTTCGACCTTCACCGTATAATTTCACATGTTCTGATGCAACGGCGGCATAAGACCATCGGCGTGTAAAAGTACACACCACCACCGCCGCCGCCGCCCCGACGCTCACCCTGCTGATACTGATGACCGTCTTTTCCAAAGTAAAACCCGAGCAGGTGTGTCTGGTGCTGAGCTCGGTCGTATTTAAGGTCCAGCTGTGAGACATTATGTTGGCATTATTGGACTCTTGCTCCCAAATCCACGGGAATCCGAGACAGCTCCCCCTAGTTGACGACTGACGTCACGGTGTTATTGCTCGAATTTAATATTTTAATGAAAGCAAAGTTCGAGAGGTTCGAACTGATCCCGTTCGCTCGTCATAAGGGAGGACTTTGAAGCAGGGGTGTCAAACATACGGCCAGCGGGCCAAAACCGGCCCGCTAGGCGGTTCGAATCGGCCCAATAATACTTCATTATACTTCCTTATATAATTATACTTCATTACATATGAAATATTTGCAAAACAAAGGGGGAAAACCGTGGGCTTGTTATTTGTAGTTACTCATCACGCAATTTTACTACTCTTACTAGCTAGCTAGCTAAATAAACTTTTAAACATTTATTATCTTACGCAAGCAATGGCCAAAAGTAAGTCTATAAGCTAATTGTTACCTTCAGTAAATAAAAAGGGTACAATTAATGACAAATAGCCAAATAGTTACTAATACTTAGTTACCTAAGTAACTAAGTATTTCTATTTCAAAATATAAATAAATTAACCAAAAGCCAATTCAAAGATTGAAAAGCTAAACGGGCCACATCCGGCCCCCGGGCCGTAGTTTGTAGTTTCCATCCATACAAGTCGTACAAGACGGCAATAGGCAACGCACACACACACACACACGTAGCCAGCGTGTGCCCGCGTCTCTCTAACAGAGACATCACATTTGTCTCCATCTGGCCCCACAACACACCTATTCCCTGTTGCTTTCCTCGTGTCACACTGAGTTTGTCGTTCTCCATTACGGCTCCGATGTTCTGGAACCAGCCAGGCCCACACTCCCTCCACGCACACCTTTTATTTATTCATTGCATTTCTTTTCTCTTATTTCATGCACTTTCGGGGCCTGCTCATTGTGCAAGTGGAATAGGTTGGACTGCTCCTCTGACCCGCTTGATCTCAAAGGCGCCCACTGGAGGAATCCTGGGGAAATTACTAAAATGTTAGCGGTGCCTTTACATGACCGTGCTGGGAGAAGAAAAAAAATCTGAGTTTTGAATTTTTTTTTTTAACAGACAAATAAGCTCTAAGGCAGGGTGTCAAACATACAACCCGTGGCCCAAAATTGGACCACTATAGGGGTTCAATCCGGCCCGCTTCATGTGTCTCTTAGGTTACTTTTAGCTATTTGGCGATATGTTTAGGTAGCTATTACAATTCTAAATGTGGTTAGCTTTTGTTTTTTTTATGTAGTTAATGTTACTAAATGTGGTTAGCTTTTGTTTTTTTTTTGTTAAGTTTTTTATGTAGCTAATGTTAACTTACTATATCTTGATGCATTTTTTTTTTTTTGCAGAGTTTGACCACAGGGGGTCCTCGACTTGCATCAGTGTTCCGTTCCATGGTGCGACGCGACTCAATTTCCGCAGCTCACATACTGTATGTAAGTACCTACCGAACAACACAGTGTTAACGACAAAATCGAGCCGATGTCAATAGACATTATCCGTAAACTCCCGGGAAACACGATGCGACGCGACCCCCCCCAAAAAAAAATCTCTTGTGACCCACCTGAGGGTCGCGACCCAGTCTTTGGGAAACAATGCCTTCTCATCAACTCTAAATGGTAATAAGAACTTAAGAAAACGATGACCGTGACTTTTTTATTGGTCGCGTGTACCTTGCAACCGACAGCTTAGCTTAGCTTAGCTTGGAAACCAAACATCGTTTAACCGTGTGCTTTAATGCCACCCTCGTACTGTTTCTGAGGCTATACTGAAACTGTCGGTCACAATGCACCCTTCTTTATAATTTAAACTCCTGCAGTTAACCTTTAAGGAGGATCTTCGTCAGCCGGGCCTACGACAATTTACTGTATATGTCAAGCACGGAATTAGAGCTGAGGGACGAAGCTTTTTTTTTTACGCAGTTGAGACAAACCTGAGAAAACACCTGTTTTTTATTATTGTTATTATTTCTGATTAGTGTTGACAGGATGTTGAAGCCTTTCTGTATCACTGCTCAAGCTTGTTAGCGGTTTCACCATTACAGGAAGAGGCAGAGCAACAACAAAAAAAAAAAACGTATGGGAAATGAAATGCTGGCACGGTTTATAAATGAACCCGGCGTTGCACGACTGACGGCAAACAGAAAAAACCCACCAAGAGATCTCTGCAGAACTATTCGTGGCCTGTCGC